TTATAATAATACAAATAGCAATGTGTAACATTTTACCATATTTAGTGCAACACTTTTATTTGTTCCACACAAAATATTGTTTTTCACTAAATGTTTGGATTTCTAAAATTATTGAATTTAATAATAATATAAAATGTTTCTAGAATAACTTTTGCTGCCGAATTATCCACTAACCTAGTTTATAATTTTTTGTCATAGATTATAAATATACATAGGCCTATATTTTTTCATATTTGTTTATTTTATTTTTCTTTATAATGAAGTAGTCTGTATCTAGTAGATTGTGAAAGAATCATTATCAGTTCCACACACGGAGATATATAAATACTACATTTATTTAAATGAGGGAAAAAAACTTCACTGGTATCGGATCGGTATCTGTATCGGCCAATACTGAACCCTAGGTATCGGAATCGGTATCGGAGGCGAAAAAGGCGGATCGGAGCATCCCTAATAGAAATAGAAAAAAAAAATCAACACGGAAAGGAAAAACATAAACCAGGCATCATTTAGCCATTGAACGATACTACAATACAACAGAATAAAGCTTAGGCTGCTGATTAAATAAATCCAACAAATAAAGCATATCCAACAATGCATAATAATTGCATTAATAATGACAATAATAATTATTTATAATATATTGTACATACAAAATGGAAAAAGAATATCACTTTTAAGTCAACTAAACTTTCTACTGAATTGCTATAGACTTGCTGAGAGTGTATACTAACCAAACCTTATATAATATGCTATAATATGTTGCCTATTTAATCTATTTTATTAAAGGGGTCATATGATGCTTTTTTAAAGATCATTATTTGGTGTAACAGAATATGTTGACATGATTTAATGTTCAAAAAACACATTATTTTTCAAATACTGTACATTATTGTAGGTCCTCTATGCCCCACCTCTCTCAAACGCTTCGTTTTCTACAAAGTCCCTCCTTCCGACAAGCGCAGTCTGCTCTGATTGGCCAGCTGACCCAGTGCATTGTGATTGGCCGAACACCACAAGCACTCGTCGGAAATGTAACGCCCCTTACCATAATCGCGAGGTTCATCTTTCAAAATAAATGTAAAGACAGAGCCCGAAAGGGGAACAGAGTCGCGTGACAGACACAGTGATGAAGCTGGTATGTGTTTGTGATGCTCTCTCTCTCTCTCTCTCGTGCACAAACACACACACACACACACGATGCGCAAAACTCCGCATTTGAACAGTCAATAGCAAATACTTGAACTAATAACAAAACAGTAGCTGATTCAGAAGCGCCAGATTGTCATAGCAAAGTCAGAATTACCTCCTCTCCTAGGTTCACGAAACGGTCGTCCATAAAATGCATTGCTGTTCTGTTGTAAGTAATCTTAATGCATCTACTTTCGGAAGGCCAAATAAAGTGCTTTTGCTTTCTCCTAGAAACACACACCGTCTTCCTGACATGCTGCTTCAACACTAACTGCGGTTACTGAAACCACATCTTCTTTCTTTGCGTGCACATTTGGGCGCATTATGCAAATATTTCCACATAGTGAGGTAGATATGTGGGGGCGTGTTAGAACGAGCCGTTTTAAGGGGGCGTGGCAGAGTCTTAACTTTGATAAAGAATATCTCTTTGGTTTTGAGACTTTAGTCTTTGCAACTTCAGGGATCTTATCTATGCACAATCAGCTTGTAACACTCCAAAGAGAAAGCAAAACTTGAAATTGCATCATATGACCCCTTTAAAGCCATATATATTCTGCCAAGACTTCAAAATGTCATGTTTAAGAATCTTTTTCTGGATTTTATTCAAATCAAAATCAAGAAATAGCTGCTCTTTTAATAGAATCATACAGTAAATCACTAAAACAGATATTTAATAATAATTAAGGATACTGTTAAATAGTTCATATAACACACCTGGCTGAAATAATGCACCTCTAGTTCGCAATGCCAACAAACAGTTTTGTGCGATGTTAAGTAATTAAACAGAATGAAGGATAAAGCAGGGCTTCTAAAAAACTAAAATCATCCGAAATGTAAAGTTTTAGTTACACGTGATTGTTAGATGAAGTCTCCACATCAGAATGATCAGATCCGACCTGGACACTGGATTCTGCCTGAAGAGATCGGTTTTGGTTTCTAAAGCTTATGAGTTTATAGAAACTTCAGAATGTAATGTTTAAAAATAATTTTCTTGATTTTATTCATAGTCACAACACAGCTTATCTTTTAATAGAATCATACAGTATATCACTAAAACAGACATTTGCTTTAGATTATAGATTATTTATAACATTTGTTTAGTTTTGATGTAAATCTTGGCATTCCATCTTAGATTAACCCGTTTGAGTGGGAGGTTCCACTAAACTATCTGTACCACAATCACTGTTGTCATATGTTGCATATAGTCAGCATTAAATCAGTTGTCCCCGTTACTTATTTACTTTATTTACATGTACCTGATCTTATTGTGCAGGAGTAATTTTGTTTTGTTTCCTAGAAAGAAACTAACGTTGTTTTAAAAATTATTTTCTTTTGACAGTAACAAAAAATATCAATCAATAAGAACAATAATAAAAAGAATTAAATGTATTTATGATGTATTCAATATGTCCTAGAGTTTTATATTCAAAATACAGTATCCTAATATAATTTCCCAGTGACGTGTTTTAGATGTTCGAGCTGTAAATACTATTGCAATAACATTTGCAAGGCGAGAGAGATGTGAGAAACATTCACATACCTCCAGCTCTCCGTTCTCGGCTGCGTCATGAAGAGGCGTACCACCCCAGCTGTCCGTCACGATCTCCCCACCGTGCAGGAGCAGCCAGCTGAGAACCTTGGCATGGCCGCGGCTGGCGGCAAAGTGCATGGCAGTGGCCCCATCATTGTCTCTGTCAGACAGGCTGATTTCTGTGAAACTCATCTATAGAAGACAGAAAGTCTGATCAAGAACCTACAGAAATGATGTTAAACAATGGTGCAAAGTACTGCTCATCATAGTAGCTCAAATAGCACACCTGGCTGAAATGATGCACCAAAAAAAAATCGTTTTGTGCAATGTCAAGTAATTAAACAGAATGGTACTTAAGTACTAAAACTGCCCAAAATGTAATCATTACAAAAAAAATGTTCCAACATTATTCCTGCCAGAAGAGATCCGTAAACAAAACCCAGTCACCAAAGTTTTGTCTGGTACCCAAAATCGGTTTACTGCAAATCTTGTCTGGTAAAATCCTTACTATATACGGTGAATAACTGTAATAGATCTAACCTTACATTTAATGTCATTTTACAGTAACATACTATTAAATTTGAAATATGAAAAAGAACAAGTCATCATATAATTTACAGTGAAAAACCATAAATTGACATTCCCAGAATTCCCTGCATGGCACTTCACATTCGATGTTTTTTGCTGAAATAGCTTGTTTTCATTTTTTTCTAATTAGTTATGTTCGTTAGGGTTATATGTTATATCGGTAACACTTTAGAATAGGGAACATTTATTCACTATCAACTACGACTTTTCCCTCGATAAATAACTAATAGTTAGTAAGGTAGTTGTTAAGTTTAGGTATTAGGTAGGATTAGGGATGTAGAATAAGGTCATGTATAATAAGGCATTAATATGTGCTTAATTAGTATTAATAAATGTCTAATATTCTAGTAATATGCATGCTAATAAGTAACTAGTTAAGAGACCCTAAAATAAAGTGTTACCGTTATATATCTAATGTTGTTAATTAATGCTAATTGCATTACTTTATTGTCGTGTGTGTTAACATAATGGTGTTTAGTATTTGTGCGAGTGACACTGTGTGCACCTTCTGTATATTAATATTTACTTCCTCAGCTTGTGGAAAAGCTGCTTCTGATGTCAGTGTATTACAAAGGTACAAAACAGATATTAGTATATTAATATTATGATCAGTTAATGAAATGTGTTTTTAATGTAAATTAAGTTAAATCTGTAAAACCTAAAATGGCAAAGTTCTGGCAACCATAGCTGCTATTTTTTTCCCTGTACATTTCACTGATTTTTTTAATCTTTTTTTATTACAGTGTAGGTTAAACAAAAATAGCAAGCATTACAAGAGCAAGGAAAATAATCATATAAAATCTAAAAACATAATAAAAATGACAAATAAATGATATAAATGAATAAATTTCATATATGACTAATGAGTACAAATGACTATAAAACAAACTTAAGGACAAGGAGAAAATAAAACAAAGCACAAATGTCTGGTTGCTCTCTTGAATACACATATACACACACACACACGCACGCACACATAGGTTGCTACTCAAACAAATCCTTAGATTTTTCAACATTAACAAAACAATATTCAAAAATTTTTTTTTGAAATGCTCAGAAATGTAGATGCTTTTCTGTAGCATTTGGTTGTTGCTGCTGTAGAACTTGTATATGTGGTATTTATGTTCCATTCCTGTGAGAGTGAAAATTATTTTCTGTGATAATCAATGTTGTGTTGATAAAGCACAATCTTGCGTTAAACCTGGGAACATTCCATGGCAAAATATTTGAAATCGGATGCTTTAAATCATACATGAAACATTATGCTTGCAGTACAGTACTCATCCATTAAGAACAACTGTTTTTGGCTCACCAGCCAGACGATGACAGTGTTGTGTCCCATCTGGGCAGCAGCATGCAACGGTGTCATCCCATCATTGGCTCTGATACTTGGCTCCGCCCCGCAGTCCTTCACTAGGTACTGGACGACTTCCAGGTGGCCCTCCTGACATGCAAGGTATAGTGGTGTGGCACCGTTCTTAGTTTGGAAATTGACAACTCTAAAACACAAGCAAAAACGAGGAAATTATACATTTAAAAAAAAATGGGTGAATAGAAATATGAAAATATTTAGTGTTCTTTACTTGAAGGGGTGTGCATAAGACTGACATGACACCTTCATAATCATGACATGACACATGTCATGAATATGAAGGTTTTTTATGCATGTTTATGACAACTGTCATTAAGTGTCATTTGCTCAGTTATGTAATTTTTAATGCAAAGATGACATTGTTTGAGATGTCTTTGTTATGGGCTATGGTTAGGGGTAAGGGTAGGGGTAGGGTTAGGTCAAATAATGTCATATTTGCATTACTTTTAGCAAATGGCTGCAATATAAAAAAGAGTGAAAAATTTAAGGGGGTCTGAATACTTTCCGTACCCACTGTATATATATATATATATATATATATTTTTTTTTACAACATGAGCAATAACCTGACCCAAAATTACTACACAGAACTCTGGAGTACCTTTAATTGCAGCATTACTGCATTAGTTTAAACTAATACGAAATGATAATTTCCAAAGCTGACTCTACAGGCCAGCAGACTGACAGCAGAAAGCAACTAACTAGCTTTACATCACCCATAATAATATTTCATATTATCTCACCACCATGACACTAGTGTGCTGTGAGTGTTGAGCCAAAGCGGTTCTAGGTATAGTTGCTGTGCGGTTGCTTGGGTGTTCTGGGCGGTTTCTAGGTGGCTGATATCTATCTGAAGTCAAAAGAAGCCACCCTCAGATCTCTGTGATATTCTGGTCTCTAGTCTCTATATAGTCCAAGGGTGTGAAACAGCTCCAAGTAGAATGTCATGTATTGTGATCTAGAAATCACAGTAATTATGACATGGCGTGAATGCAGCATACGGTAACAGAGAAAACAGGAAAAATACAGGAACTGAACTCAGGAGATTAAGAAAACTATATCGAAATAAGAGTCCTGGATGAACCAAAACTGTGATCATCTGCATAGCAAGTCTGAAGACTTAGAAGATAACAAGCTGCATGATTTTATGAGTTATTTGTGTCCACAGCATAAAAGTTAGGGGTTTTGCTCAAACTGTGCGGCTTTTTGAGGAGATACGTGCCATTTACCTTCCAAATCTGTTTGGACTTTTGATTTTCCAATGGCAGATAATAAAATATGCAAACATGTATACGTACATAGAGGGAGAGGCCCAAACCATATCTACAGCCCAGAATATCAGAGACTAAATGAGGACTTTTGACTATAGGCAACCACAAAGAGCCAAGCATTGTGAAAGAGAGTTTTGCATAGGCAAGCCCCATCAGAAAATGTAAACATTTTATTTTATTGTTTGTGTTTAAAGTGTGCAACAAATCTGACACACTTTCAGTGCAAATAAGTAATCAGTGCAAATAAGTAATCTTGGTAACACTTAGAATAGGGAACACTTATTCACTATTAGTATTAACTATGACTTTTCCCTAAATTCCTAATTTGCTGCTTATTAATAGTTAGTAAGGTAGTTGTTAAGTAGGTATTATGTATGTAGAATAAGGCATTAATATGTGCTTAATTAGTACTAATAAATGGCTAATATTCTAGTAATATGCATGCTAATAAGCAACTAGTTAAGAGACCCTAAAATAAAGTGTTACCATAATCTTTGTATATATCTTCTAGTTCAATCAATATTTAAGGGAAATTCTCCAAATATTTGCACCAAAAAAGACTAGTTAAAAGATTTTCAATCCATACTCCAGATGCATACTCCCCCACCACCACCACCAAATTATTATCAGTGATCTGATACTTCTGTTCAATTCAACCCAAAACCTTATAAATTATTACAAAGCATTATTACACATTGTTGACCCTCTGAGACAAAGTGATAGACCGGTCCAGTGTTTGTTGTTCCCAGGAGAAGCATGCAGCATTAATATGTCTGTCCCAGATCCTTCCTCAAAGTCACAGCAGGAGTTCTAGAAGAGAAGTCTTCCTATAAATACTATAAAGCTCAGCTTTATTTGGACACAGACTGACAAGGCATCAACGAGACTTTAAGTGGATCAGCGCTGCTTCACTCGCTGTATTCGCTGGCTCTGTCAGGAAAAAAACTATATCTTTCTAGAAGAAAAGCAATTGTTTTTATTGCTCAGATCCAACTTCACATAGTTTGCTCTCATATCCCCTCATCCCCTGAACCATCTTTATTATTTAAAGTAATGCAAAGAAATAGTTGCAGTATGTATGTTCCATGTGGCTTCACAAGGCTATGTTCAGAACAGAATATTGCCATACTACTCGTACTATTTCAGCAATATAGTATATATACTGTGCAATGTATGCAGACTTTCTATATCACCATAACATTTCCAATGTGACATATGAAGCTAAAGTAACATTACTATGTTGTATATATATATATATATATATATATATATATACATATATATGTGTGTGTGTGTGTGTGTGTGTGTGTGTGTGTGTGTGTGTTTTACACAAAATTAGATTCACAGTGCTAGACAGTCTTGCTGATTATAATGTTATATGTGATCCTGGAGCACAAAAGCAGTCTTAAGTCGCTGGGGTATATTTGTAGCAATAGCCAAAAATACATTGTATGGGTCAAAATTATAGATTTTTCTTTTATGCCAAAAATCATTAGAATATTAAGTAAAGATCATGTTCCATGAAGATATTTTGTAAATTTCCTACTGTAGATATATTCAAACTTAATTTTTGATGAGTAATATGCATTGCTAAGAACTTCATATGGACAACTTTAAAGGATATTTTCTAAATATTTAGATTTTTTTTGCACCCTCAGATTCCAGATTTTCAAATAGTTGTATCTCAACCAAATATTGTCCTATCCTAACAAACCATACATCAATGGAAAGCTTATTTAATCGGCTTTGTGGTCCAGGGTCCACAGCATATATTATATGTTCTATAAATGATATATAATGTTCTAGATTTGTCAGATTGCAATGTATTGTGCTCTCTCTCTCTCTGTCGCTCTCTCTCTCACACACACACACACACATACATACACAGTCAAATACAGGATTAAAGAGCGGAATTAAAACCTGCCAGTAACCAGGTAAACAGTCTGACTGCAGGAAAGCTTATTTAATCGGCTTTGTGGTCCAGGGTCCACAGCATATATTATATGTTCTATAAATGATATATAATGTTCTAGATTTGTCAGATTGCAATGTATTGTGCTCTCTCTCTCTCTGTCGCTCTCTCTCACACACACACACACACACACACACACACACATACATACACAGTCAAATACAGGATTAAAGAGCAGAATTAAAACCTGCCAGTAACCAGGTAAACAGTCTGACTGCGGGAATCATCTATTTCAACAATCAGACAAAACAAGGTGGTCAATTTAATAGCATTGTAAATAAATTCTGCATGCAATGGATATGTTTCACAGTAGATAGTTGCTGACATTACTGGATGACTGAGATGATGTGCTGTTAATATAAAAAACAAAATCAAAATAGCAAACATGTGACTGTGGTGGAGAGGCTTCCAAAAAATAAAGAGATGCTGAATTTTTAAAACAGGAAGAGGAATTAATCAGGGGCTCAGTCATTAGGAAGTGATCAGACACGTGAATCTTTCATGAGTGTAACCCTAACACCCATGTGCTGGGGTGGAGGGGCCAGAGCACCACACACACACACCAACAAAGCTACATAATGACCACAAATAAAACAAACATACACACAGATTAAACTTTAGTTGTTGATATGGCTACAATATGGACCAACTGAACCTCATTACATTTAGAATTTCATTTATGTTTCACTAATAAAACCAATGAAGAGTATTGGTGGTGCATCATAATAAACATTATTTTCAAAGTGAACAGCCTAGATTCATGTTGTCCGGAACTCTACGGAAACAGTGTTTGTAATGACATCACGACACTATTGTATGTTCACAAAGGTCCCTGACCTGATACAGCCTTATTTGCGGCACAGCCGTCCTTCCTGTATGAATAATTTAGGCTCGAGTGAAAAGGTAACAGAAGCAGCTGTCAGAAGATGTGTGGCAGAGCAAAGCACTTCAACCAACAAAGTCCCACTTGAACTCTTATTCACAAGGCTCAGTTAATCAGGTTTTTTTTATTGTTACATTAATGTTCTTACATGAGGAAGACCTTGATAAACAAGAACATGTCAACCAACTGTGAATGAGACAGGAGAGTAATTGAAACAGGCTGAAATTGGACATAAGGAGAAATTTGGGATAATGTACCACTTTTTCATGCAATTACAGTTAATGTGCTCCAATCTGATCACAGAGTCAGTATGCTGAATTTGAGAACAAGAACAGTCTGAAAGAATAATTCAAATTCTGTAAACTGTATGAACAGATTAAGGATCAGATAATGCTACTTCTCTTTCCTAGGGTTTAAGGAAAGTGCTGAAGGGAGAGTCACATATTCACATACACAATACCATTACAACAACCCTGTTAGACTGAGATAAATGATCAAAATGCCCCTTTTGTTACTGCTTTACAATCTCATCTCATCAGCTACTCTCTGTATTTGTAACTGATGTACACTGAAAAAAATGGTAGCCTAAAAAATGTGCTTCATGTGGTAACATCTGAACAATGTTATCTAACATTACTGAATCAACCTAAATATATTAGGTTACACCAACAAAAGTAAATTTAAGGTTAAGATCAGGTAAAAATAGCTCTTTAATTGCATGTTACCACTTTTTACAGTGTATCATGGTGAATATACAAAAAATGATCCTGTTTATACATTAAGGACTCGATTTTTGGTCTGTTTCTCATCAGAGGGTAGTCAATCTAAATTAGCCTGCCTAAAATATTTGACAAAAATATAGCAACAACTTTTTCACCTTTGATCCTTACACTTTATACAAATAAGAATCTATCCTCCCATCTCTGACACATGAGGTCATTAAAGCGAGTTAGTGCCCCTAATCTGCATTAGCTGGTTGTGTAACTGCCTCCCACCCCCTT